AGGGAACACAAGCAGGGGGAGTGGGAGAGGGAGAAGCAGGCTTCCCGCTGAGCAGGGAGCCTGATGCGGGGCTCGATCCCAGGACCCTGGGATCAGGGATCGTGACCTGAGCCGAAGGCAGATGCTTAATGACTGAGCCACCCAGGCGCCGCAAGATGTCCATGTTCTAATCCCTGGGGCCTACGCATCTGCTATGCAACATGCCAAGGGGGAATTAAGGAGCAGAGGGAATGAAGGTTGCCAATCAGCTGACCTTAACACAGGTAGAGAATCCTTGGTTATCCAGGTAGGCCCAACGTAATCACCAGGGCCTAAATGGGGGAGAGGTGGCAGAAGCGGAGAATCAGAGAGGCAGAGTGAGCAGGACGTGGCCCAATGCTGCTGCCTTTGAAGATGGAGAAAGCAGGCCACAAACCAAGGATGCAGATGGTCTCGAGACGCTGGAAAAGACCAGGAAACAGCCTCTGCCCTACAGCCTCCCGAACTGTCAGATACTAAAGTCTATGCTGTTTTAAGCTACTACGTTTGTGGTAACTTGTTACAGCAGCAATAGGAAATGAATACAAGGCCCGGCCAGCAACTGACTCCTCCAGGATCTCAAACAAGTCATTTCATCTTTGCATTGCTGCGTAGTCCTCATTTCTCAAAATAAGAACTGCCGATGAAGGGGAGATTTCCAGCTTCCCGGCTTCTCCCAGGCTGGGCCAACACAGGGACAGAAAGCAAGGGCCAACTGCCATCCTCCCTGGAACGCCCTCCACCCTCCTTCCTTTGATGTATAAAGGGCTCCCTTGGGAGCTCCCCAAGCACACCTTATCTGGAGTACTGCTCCTTATCTGCCTTTGGGGGACCCACAGCTCCTCCCTCCTCGACAAAACCCCTTTAGAATACAAAAGCTCTTTAGAACCGCCAGAGACAGAGCAGAGCCGGAGCCTCTCTGGGCAAACAGGCTTTCAGAGATGAAAGAGCCGCCCAGACAGCCATGGCGACCCATGGCCACCATATTTCCCACTGGAAGGATAGGTGGTGCCCTGAGGTAAGGCTGGCCCATTCAAAGACCTCAGATCGCCCACAGTCCCCCTTCCTCCCACCACACACCTGACACAGCACATCCCTCGAACATTCTAGGATTACAACTCCTTCATTAGTTGTGTTATGAGCTTTTATTTAAAAAGCACATTTAATACAAGGATAGTTTCGCAGATACAAGTTTTCACTTTGTATTCTACAAAAGTCTTTGAATATTATTCTCTTTACAAAAAATGGGAACCTTACAAAAATACTGACACTTTAATGTTTTCATACAGTTTTCTCTAGTTGCAGTTATTTCTTTCATTGTAAAACAAGGTCTACCACGGAACTACAATATTTTAGTTGATATTAAAAAAAAAATTAACTCAATGCTTTTTTAAGCAGCTAATGTAAATAACACAGGTCGAGACACAGTTTATAATCATAGTGGATATAGCTAAAATTGTTTCAGAAATAATATCTTACATAGTTAACTTTTAATGTTTTATACATTATTTATATAATATTTATATATAAAAATCATAGCTTGCTAGGAGTTGAAATGAAAGGACGACTTCTGTAGTGAGGATGTGCATGTGGTTGATCCATGTGGTTACATTTAGCCCTTTGAAAGGTCTGCATCCGCCATCGGAAAGCCTTTCTTCCTTCCTCCTTTCCTCAAAGGTTCAGTAGAAAGGATCCCTGTCTACTGCCTAGAGTGGGGCCTTGCTTAGAAGGACACTTATGGAGAGAGGATGAGAAAAACTCTACGGAGATTTAACCCATGTGTTCTGCCCAGCAGAACCTACCAAGAACTGCCCTAGAGATCAACCCCAAGACAATAGTGCTTTACACAGCTTAGCAAGAGCAGCCCCCACAGAGACCCTCGTCAGCTCCGAGATCTGGAAGGGTAGCCTGTCAGGCATGAGACCGTCTGCTACTCTGGCTCATTCTGACTTCGAGTAGCCAAAAGGCTGGTGAGTTTTTCATTCTTGCCCCTTTGCTCCCACGTCTCTTGGGTGTAAGGCTGCTTTCCATCAGCTGGTGGCAGAGCACGCCTTTGCTCTGTCGGGACCCTCCCAGGAAACCCTGGTGGGCACACAGCAAGGGCTTCGAGGGAGCAGCAGTGAGCGAAGCTAACTGTTACCGAAAGTGTGCAGGTGCTGGGTGACTAGTGAACACAACCGCAGCATCCCGCAGCTGACGTCCCCCCCATCACCGCGTGATGCGGCCAGAGAAGACCAGTGAGGGCCAGCACCCTCGACCTCTTCTGAAATGGTGCTATTTGTGAAATTCACTCATCCACAAAGAGTCTCCTAATCACTAAAGCGAGGGGCTGTGGTTGCTGGCCTGTGGGCCGCGGGAGTGAGGGCCGAGGCCTCAGGACTAGGAGCTTGCACTCAGGATCGAATCACCTGGCTTAGAAAACTTGCTCCTTCCTTGTATTTAACTTCCTGAACCGAAGTCACAGTATAGAACAGAGTGGGGTGGACAGAGGGACACGAGAGAGGAGCCCCCCAATGGCTATTCTCTTGATTCAGGGCTATTTCTGCCGTTGCGTGCTACGAAGTGAATCTGAGCTTTTCTCACAGGCCTGGGATTCCTCGGGTCACAAGGCTGACTGGCAGACTCTACGCAAATCATTTTAGTGTTTGTTCCAGAACAAGCCCGTGTTCACTAGAACATGAACACTTAAAACCAATTGCACATCCAGGATTTCGGCACTTGGTGTTAGTTTGCTGCTGTTTCCACATAGGTGAACGCTACCTATTTTGGAAGGCCACAAAGTAAGACTTTTTTTTTTTTTTCCTTTTTAAAATTGGTTGGGCAAAAAGTTTTTCCCTACATTCTACTGTCTGATGAGATTGGAGAGCAGCAAGAACTTGCTGTCAGCAGTCATTTTATAAAACAGCTCAGGAGGTGGGCGGCACCTACACCATGTTGTGGTGATTGTTCCTGTCAATAATGTCCACAGGTGAAAGAATTTCCTTCCGGAGAGCCGGGGGAGGCAGGGACAGTGTCGTCTTGGTCTTGAAGAGGTCGGACACAAAGAAAACCTAGAAGCACAAAATCAGACATCCAAATCAACAGCCGACATCTGGGGTCTGGGGATAGGCAAAGGGAAGGTCATAGGAGCATGGACTTTGGGAAAAGGGGACCCTAAACCATAGATCTTTGAATAGGGAAGGATCACATAAGGATCATGTATATATATATATATACACATATATATATATATATGTGTATATATATATATTCCAACTTGTGTTATACAGATAGGGAAACTAGAGCCCAGGGAAGGACGGTGACATGCCCCAGGTTGCACAGCCGTGGTAGGAGTAGAACTCAGTTCTCTGGACTCTCAGTCCAGTGCTCCATATCTGAAACCCTACTTCCTTTATTTCTCAAGGCAAAAGAATGGCGATGAAAAATAAGTTCCTAAACAAGGAAGCAAGTCATAATTAGTCACACTCACTAATCCACTATACTTTCCCTTTCCTCATAAAGAAATCTAGGGTGTGACCACAAGAGATCAGCTGACATGAATTCCTATCAGCAGGACTGGAGAAGGAAGCAGTTGCGACCACGTTTTCCTGAAACCCAGGGAGCTCAACAATTTGATGGGGGTGAAGAAGCCGGGGTTTTGTGGCTGAGGGAGTCAGCAACTAACCCGGAGGAGAGGTCAATGAAAACTCCTATCGCTCCTTCCCAAAGTCCTTCCTCCTCGTGAGCATGAGACCTCACCCAATCTTAGAATCACTGAGGAACATTTACTGAACACCCGACATGCAAGGCTACGGGATGGCTCGCGCATATAGTTCCCATCTCAATTAGCTGACGATGACAGATTCAAGAACTTGATGAGTTGGCGGAGTAAGAAAAATTTGTGCTTTGTATTAGATGGCAAAGTAAACATGCAGACATCCATTTGAGCCACTCAGCAACAGGAGTTTGTATTGAGTAAACCATAATAAGAGGCAGCTATCAGTCGTGTCTTTTAATAGGAAACACATGGCTGGAATGGAGACTAGAACACAATTCCAAATTTCCTCATGTCTAGCAGCTTTCTGGATTGAAAAGTCCTTGTCCCACAGTGGGTCATGCGCTCACTAATAATGACGGTACTTTGACTTCATTCTGGACACAGTATAGGCTAGCAAGTGAAGTTCTTAATTTAGTAAGACTTTGCCAACACCAAGGCTTGGAGCAGCCAAGGCCCAGCTGTAGTAGGGACTTGGATCACCTGTTGAACCAATTTCCAAAATGTCCTTTCTGTAGAAATAGAGCAATCAACAAAAGGACCACAAAAATCACAGCAAGAAGCTGGCGATGCTGGTTACTCAGGAGCTGCAGTGACTAGAAAACAAATGGGAAACAGAGACTTACCAGCCACTACGGAACCGTGACACCTTTTGCATTTTGTTCCCGTGCCACAGATCATCTACTCAAACATTTGCAGTCCAAGCTCTACTGAATATGCCATTTTACAAAGGAAAAAAATTAGGCCTTCTGTCCCTTTCTTTTCCAAGGAGGTATAAACAGTGAAATAACTGAGAGCCAAAGCAAGAAAAGATTTGTTCCCAACCCCGCTGGGGAGTGCCAGGCCCCCTGGCCGGGAATCCTTCATACACGCTGGAGAAGAGGCTTTCGAGTGCTCCCGGGATAAGGAAATACTAATGAACATGATTAAAGTTAAACGTGGAGACAATTAAACTTTTCAAGTCTTGCCTGACAGATGCAGAGCCAGTGTCCCCACCTCTACCTGGAAACCACCCTCCCCTTCCCCCTTAACTTTATATCGGACGAAGGCTTCGATCAAGCCCTCCATGGCTGGCTCTCAGCTGCACTTATTCCTGCCCAGCAGCTGCCCGCACCAAATAAGGGCTCTTACTGCTCTCGTTTCTCAGAGATCTTTTTCCCAGCTTCATCCCACCTGCCGAAGACAAAGATAGCAGGGGACAGGCCCCCAGCCCCCAACAAACATCTTCCCTTCAAGATTCTGACACCACCTTAATCTATTGGCTTATTTCCCAGTTTAATTTTCTGAGCTCATATCTACTGCATATTAGGGTTTCCATTTCCCAGCTGCAAGATAGGGATAATATCGAGGTTCAAGGCAATAATGTACTTGAGGAGACCTAAACCTGCGTCTGGAACATACTTCAATAAAAAACGTTCCTTTCTGTGATGCTCTGGGCCCCGAAGGAATGACCTAATGGGCCTTGAGCAAGCCACGCTCCTCATGTGTCCCAAACCTTGCTTGTCAGCTTTTCTTCCTAGATGGGAGGCCTCTTGGGGATGGAATCTGGGCCCTAATGATCCTACATCACCCACAACACTTAGCATTGAGCCTTGCCCACACGAGGGGCTCAGTAAGTGTTTGTTGTTGAATTTCTAAACTCCTCTCTACTGGAAGCAAGCACTCTAGCCTTCGATCTTATCGGCACAGGCAAATCCCCCGGACTTGAGGGGAACCACGTGCTCATACCCTGCATGTGCACGACTGGGCGGTGGGATGAAAAGTTGAGTGAGGTCCAGCAGAATCCCCCTTTAAGCTGCATTTCGCTTTCAGCATGAGCTTGAGCTTACACAAACACTTTTTTGGGATCATGAAACCCGATCCTGTCAGGACTCAACAGGGCTCAGTTTTTCTAACGCTTGAACAGCAGAACACAAAAAGGACTAGCAAAAGTGAAAACTTTGCTCGGAGCAGCTCCATTTCCTGCAGAAGGTGATCTCCACCCAAAAAGAAAACCCAGAGGCCCAGGCGGGGAAGGGTCTATACTAATGAGGTAGCTATCTGATGTCTAGGGGACTGCTCCCAGCCTGCAGCCCCGCGTCCACAGATCTCTGTGTAGGAAAGCGCACAGTAGATAATAAACAACAGTGTCGGCAAGCCAGACATCTATACCCTATGCAGCAAGAACAGTTCTTGTTTGCACTGCCCGAAGCATTTGCCTTCAATTCCGTTTCTCCGGTTCTTTGCATTTTATAAACTGCTTTTTCACAATGAACATCTGCTCTGTGCCAAGCCCTGAGATTATAAAGATTAAGTATATGTAAGAGTCCTTTGCCCTCCAAAGGAGCTCACAGGGCAATGAGGGAGAGATCCAGGCAAACAGACAGCTACAATGCAGTGTTAAAGATCATGATAGAGGGAAGCCAGGGTGTTCAAGCAGCCCAGAGAATGTGGCATCTAACCCAGACTGAAGGGGACGGGAGGGGCTTTAGAAGGCTTCCCCCCAAGGAGGTCTATTAGATGAGCTCAATAAGGTTAAGTGGGAGTTAGCCAGGTGGTGAATGCCAGGAATGTTGTTCAAGGCAGAGGGGCGCAGGAGTGAGGGAGGACAGCACGTTCAGGAGCTGCGGGAAGGAAGCTCAGTCTGACTTGGGCCAAGCAGTCCGTAAGGCTGGAGAGGAGAGCGCCAGATCTTGAGAAGCCTCCCAGGACACGTTAAGGAATTTGGACCTTACCCTCATGGGCCTCAGGAACCACTGTCAAGGCTGTCACAGGGAAGCAGCCTGTTGAGAAGACCATATCTAAGAGGCAGAAGGAGTCGAAAAGGGAGCGGGGAACCCGAAGGCAAGGGCGCCAGGTAGGACCTGCAGCATCTAGGGGAGGGTGAGTCCACCGCATGGCTCTAGCACAAGGGAAGACAACACGGATTTCTGAACCACTGAGAACGGACTGCGGTCGACAGAGGTGCTGTGTATGTGTGTGGGTGGTTATGTGTGCAGGGGAGGCCATGCTTTCCTTTCCAGTTCTGCATTTAACTCTAGAAATCTGTGCACTTGTTCCCACCAAAACTCTTAAGGTTTGGGTAACCACACCAGCGGAAGAAAATTCTAGCTCTGCTTTCCTCTGCCTTCTACTGTTTGGGGTCCCTCTAGCAGTATCGAGGACCCAAGCCCTCAGGACAGTGGAAACCTTCGACCGAGAGCAAGACTACGCGCAAACAAGGCAATTCTAGGCGAGAAATCCCGTTCACGGTTATGAGAAGGTAAGAAGCATACAGATAGTCCCCTTGCAAACGGTGACTATCCTTACTGGACCACTGTGTACTGGCAACCAGCTTTGCCCCTAGAGCAACACAGACTGGTCTTCAAATCCAAGCTTTGCCATCTTTAGTAAAATACCTAAAAGAGGGACACAGTACCCACCTCCGAGCATTCCTCTAAGGATGTGTTGTAACAAAAGGCACATGCGTGACAACGTGCCTGGGGCCCAGTAAGAGATTAAGAAATGGGATCCACTGTCACTGGCTCGTGTGTTCAGTGCCTACCTATACAAAGTCACTTCTCTTCTCCCGCCCCTTGTGGGGGAAGGCAAGAAACGAGAGAAGGAGCTAGAAAAAAAGAAAAGGACAGAGAAGGGGAAAGAAGAATGATTCAGAATTATAAGCCAACAGGTAGAAGTCAAGCCAGACAGGAAGACCATATGCAGGCGGGAGTTTGCCACAAGACAGATAGAATCTGATCTCGAAGTCCTGTAATTTCTGAGGCTATTTCGGGGAATGAGTCAGCACAATCAAAAAGGAAGACGCCTCTGATATCCTGTCGCCGGCGCTCTCTGGCTCGAGACACCAGCCCCCCGGAGCCCACACAGCCCAGCGCTGCTGGGGTGCTGCGTGGCTGGGGCTCACCAAGAACCAAGCCAGCCAGGAACAAGCATTCTGGTCTGTCGCCAGGTTTCCACTCCCATTGCTGGGAATGGCCAACTCAGCGAATTCTGAGGGTCATGTTGTTAAGGGTAGATTATGATGACAAAATTGTTCTTTACATGTTTCTGGAGTCCTTGAGTGCGTCAACTTCTGAGAATGTGTAAGTGAACACCTTGAAAAGAGGAATCGCATCCTCATACATTGAGATTTTTATAAGCACCAACCCCCCCGGCCCTGAGCTTAGATGCCAGCACAGGGTGGATAAATATAAAAGGAGAAGAATGCTGGAATCCTACAACCAGAAGAAAACGGCAAGTTGTCCATTCTGGTATTTCTCAGAGTGTCATCCTCAGATCATCTATTTCAGAATCAGCTGGGGGCCTCTTGATAGAGCA